TCTCTCTCTCTGTCTCTAAATCTAGCTCTATATAGCTTTATCTCTCTCCCTCTCTCTGTTTTGTCCTTCAAACCTGCTCTTGCCTGAGCGGTTAGCGACTTCGGGCGTCTCCGAGAGCAGGAGGCGGGGATGGAGCTGGTAAACACAGCTAAGGCACTTCCAGAATGTCCCGATTCAGCAACTTTCTTTTCTTTCCTTCCCCCCTCTCCTCCCCTTCAAGGGCAGCAAAGGAGGCTTTTGTTATTTGCTCCTTTTGAAGTTTGCTTCCCTCTTGCCTCGTCCCCCTCCTGTTTATAATTTAAGATCTCGGGAGCACACGGACACTCTGCTCTCCCCAAGAAATGTGATTTCTCGGGATAACCGGTTACCTCGATTTTCTTACTTTTATCAAACCAGTCAGGCTTCCTGCGTTCCTCCTGCCCCTCAAATAAGCACAGGTGGATGAGAGCTCTTAACTTTCCAGCTTATTGAAGTCTGTTCTTTTCTAATGGCAAATTGGAAACACTGTTGCTGATTTTTCTTTTTTTCTCTGCTGTGTTATTCTTCTCTTTTCTCCCTTTTCCCTGGTCTCCCTCATCTGCCCCCGCTAACTCCCTCCTTCTGCACTCCTGTTTCTAACCGGGGCCCCTTTCATTCAGGTAAAACTGTAAATTTCCCAAAGCGCCATTGTTCTTCAGGATTGTCCAAAGCTCCCTAGAAATCCCCGAATACTTTTTTGGTATTTAAATCCCCGATAGATAGAACCAATGTAAATTTTGTGACATTCAAACCTTTTCTAGTTCACAAATCAGTCACCCTTGTCACAGTTATTGAAATTCCGCAACTCGCCACACCAGGACGGTGGAAAAAGCGGGCGCGGTCTTTGTTGCCGACCAGGCTTTTGATCGCCAGAGAAAATTTACTTACCTTCAGATGAGTGAGCAGAAAAAGAAATAACACTCCCTTTGATTTAGTTAGGAAAATGCAGACATTTGGATTCAGTGCAAACATACAACACTCGCTTGTTTTCGCGATGCGGCCCTCGATTAACCTGTCTTTGCCCAGCGCAAAGTCTATTCAACAACTGCGCGTAGTTGCTTTTTGTCCCGTCCACAAAGAGCCATTGACCATATATTAAAATGATTGTTGAAAGGTAGAGGAGTATGGCACTTAAAAGCAGGAAAAAAAAATCCCTGTGACTCAATCAATTAAGGCGAGTAACATTTATGCATTTCAAAAAATGCACACGAATGCGGGGGTGGGGTGGGGTGGGGGAAGAAGGTTGCATTTCTTCGCAGCTCTGTTTAAAACCCAGCAGCCCCGGCTGAGGGTTTAGCTCAAGCGTCTGCATATTCATTAGGTCTAATTATTTTCTAGTAAGGAAAACACAAAAAGCCAAGAGTCGGAATCCTTCAATTTGCCCTTTGTTTCTAACTTCATTTGGCTTATTTGCAGCTGAATCACAGCCCTAAACTCTTTTCTCAGACAAAGAAACCTCAACTCATCCTTTCACAGGCGCCCAGTTAGGAAACTCACCAGCGCCAGGGAGAAAGGAAAATGAAAATGAATATGTTTTGCCCAGTCTCCCGCCTTCGCTGCACAGATTGGAGCAAGGCATGATCGGCGCTGGCCGCTCTTCGCCTTTCTGGTTTTCTGGTCTTTTCATGGACTAGATTCTCGATTGGGGGTGGTGAGCTGAGCCGCCCTTTTCCTGGGCTCTCCCCGCTCAAAACTCTACTTGTGTATCTGGGGTGGTTTCCCGGTGTCTGAAGGAACTGTCGGCGCATTTGCGCCTGTGCTGGGAAATAAAAATTTGAGAAAGGAAAAAAAAATTAAATGTCTGTCCCCAGCAACAAGTCTGAATGCAGCAGCCCAGCATTCCCCACCAACTTTGAGTGAACCAGGGCTAGGTAATGGAAGGCAAGGGCTGCCACTTGAAGGATGGTTTTTCAAAAAAAAGGGGGGGGAAATGATACACTTTGAGTGGCTCGGATGTATCTTTTTGAACAAAGTGTTTTCTGCTGCCTACACGGGGAGGTTGGATCCTGCCTCCGCTGCAGTTGTAAAAACCTTATCTGCAAGAAGTTTTCTCTAGAGGCTGTACTGCTCTCACTAGGGAGAACAAATATTGAACCCACCTCGCCTGCCTTTCAAAAAAGCAAGGGAGGGGACATGAGGGAGAAGGGTAGCCATTGGGAGGGGGAGAGGGAAAATAATTCTTCAAAAAAGAAAAAGTCAGTCTTCTCCTCTCCAGTCCGTGGAAAATCCAAGGGGGACGTTGACGAGAAGGTATTTTTAGGAAACGCGTCCAACTATACATGGTAAGAGTGAATGTGGGGGGAAAAGTTGTGGGTTGTAGAAGTTATCAAGTGGGATTTGCGGCGCTCTCTGCAGGAAACGCAAGCGGCTCCAGTTCAAAGCCACATGCACCAACGTGACATATAAGCCATTAAAATATCATCCTGACGGCTCATTTCTGCTTCATCATACATTCCCTAACTGCTTCCCGAAAACTGGAAAAGGAGAAATGAAGGATGACCGCCTCGCTGGAACCACAACAGAGAGGCTTGGAGGGGTTGGTGGTACCCCCTCAGCCACCCCAAAGTGATGTGCAGAAATGAGGCGACCCCAGCAACAGGTGGAGCGGGGTAAGTGCGTGAGTCCAGGGGGCAGACAGACGGGAACTGTACCTCCCCCAGTTGGGTAGCAAGTGCCCTTATCGGGGCCATTGGCACCCAAACCCAATTGGGGGAAGAGGCCCAGCTAGGCTTTCTCCCCCAATCTCTTCCCTCCTTAGCCCCTCAATCTTGGGTATAGGCCCCACCGCACTGACACTGGGGGGCGGAGGGGGAACCGTCCGCCAAGGGGCAGCTCTGGGGAAGAGTCCATTCCTTCCTCTCAGGAAAGGGAGTGGGGTGGGGGCAAGGGGAACAAATGGAGCTCCGGGTGGCACGGGGACCAAGAGCAGCTTGTTGTCCGCCCGCCCTCCCTACCTCTCTTCCTTGTAAATTGCCTGGTTGTCCCACCGTGGGCACAAGAAGGGGAATCACGGCCCTGAACTTCCCTCGAGCCGAGTGAGCGGGCCGCGCCGGGAAGCGGGCCCTGCAGCAGTCTCCCTGCTCTGCCCCTACGAGGATGGTAGGGAGGGACTCAGCTTCACCTCCCCAGGGTCATGGAAGCCAAGGTAGCCTGGCTGGCAGCAAGATGATGAAACTTCTCCGCCCAAACCTGACGGCGGTTGCCGGCTGGGTCAGCCGGAAGGCTAGGATCCTCGCGCTGGCGCATCCTGGTCCTGCCTCAGGACGCTGACCGCTGGGATCTGCTCTCTTTGCGCGTCGCCTGTCGTGGGTTTGGGACTTGGCTTCCTTTCTCTCGGGTGCGAACGAGGGCTAGGAGTAGCTCTCTGGGGAGCAGGCCGTAGCCCCCTAGGATTCTGGGCCCTACCCTAGACACCTAGAGACACTGGAAATTAGGGGCAAGAGAGGCGGGAACAGCCTGGCTCTGAAAGGAAGCTAAGGACTGCCTCAAAGGCTTGACTAGAAAGTTTAGGGTTGATGAATGGTCCACGGGGACAGCTGGGAGCCAGCGAGGTTTCAGCAATGGAGACGGGGCGTTGGAAGGCTGCACCTTGGCTGGCACCATCTGCAGGAAACCCCCTTTGGATTCCAAGGTCATATTTCTCCCCCATTTCCGACAGCATTAGCCGCACAGCTACCCACGACAAGGCACCACGTTTCCTTCCTTCATCTAGCTGCCGGCAGGTTGAATGGGATGGTTCACAGGGACGGTTAAATATCCAGTCTGGCCCTTCAGGAGACCCATTAATGCAGACTACTCTGAGCACACGGAGGTCGCCCAGCCTCCAGTTCCGAACTGGGGAAACCCAGGCTCTTCCCTCTAGGGAAGAGAAGAATGAGAAAAGGCCGTCGCACAACCCAGCCTCGCTGCGCAACTTCCTGGTATTCGAGGGCCCGATGGAGGGGAGCCAGGGAGGTGCCGGGTGCAGCTGGTGACACCAGGCAGGGGGCAGAGGTGGAGAACCTTTTTTTAATTTTTTTTTATGGCTTTGGCTTGAGAGCTCCCAGACAGCCTGAAGGGCCCCTGCTCACCCGCGCCAGCTGAGCTGTGGCGGATAGACGAGCCTGCCGGTTAATCAGTGTGGAGCAGCGTTGAATGCTTGGGGACTGGATCCGCTGGCTTAGGAAGCAGGCTGCAGGTGACCTCTGACCTTGATCAGGCCTGCACATCTAGAGTGAACCCATAACGTGAAGCTTGGGTGTCCCTCCAAAGAAAAATAGTGCCTTTTGCATGTACCCACCGGCCTACCTTCTTGGCTGTCCCCTCCCTGCACGATCAATTACTGGGGCTTGCTGGCACCCTTTCCTCTTCTCTTGATGTGGGAACGCAGGAAAATTCTAATAAGTCTCCAGGTTGTGCTTCTGACTGGCGAGTCAATGTCCAGGGAAGGTGTAAGGAGATAAGTCAGGAGCAATCATTTCAGGAAAATCAATCGCAGCATTTTCAGGGCTTTTAAATCCCTGGATTGGTGGGGATCTCAGGTCCAGGGTCCCAGGGACTTCTTCCAAATTCTCTCACCCACCCCTCTTTCAGTGAGATGACTAGTTTGTTAAGTGGGGTCAGAGTTTGAACCAAAAGAGAAGATATTTACCCTGGTTCTCTGCGCTGGCTGGTGATGGAGCAGCTACAGAGAGCAGCTAAAGGTCCCAGTTGCCTGCTCTGCCCGACGTCCAGCCTCTGCAACACTTGTTTGCATGCCTGTGGGTTTGTAATGCACAAGACTGCCAGGACCTGGGGGTAGAAGAGACCCAGGCCTCTTAAAGGAAGAGCTGGGGTAGCATTGTGGGTGGACAGAGTTCTCCTGGGAAATTCACACCCATTTTCTTCCTAAGCAAAAAAGTAAACTCTATTAGTTCCAACCAGCCAGGACTTTCCCCCATGCCGGACATCCTGCCATGAAGAAATTTTAGAGCAAGGACAGGACGCCCAGCATGCCATTCCTCTGTAGGAATGCAAAGTTGGGCCTCCTTTTATCTCCTGATTTGTCTGGGAAGGAGCTTATTACCGTTGGGGATGGATGTCTTTTGGTTAGAAAGAATTGAAAATAAATAAAACCCTCTGGGAAAAGGTAAGTCTACCCCACTCCCACACCCCTCAGGCTTGGACCTAGAAAAAAAGGGAGAGGGAAGGGTGAAAACACCCAAGCTACTTCAAGCCCAGGTTGGGAGTCGAGGGAGAGAGAAACAGACCTTTGAACATACAGAACTGGAAAGCCTTTGAGATAGCAGAGCCCCACTTGGATTTGGCCTGTGGTTCAACAAGTTAAACAACCGCTTGATCTGTGGGCTGGAGTGTCAAGACAGGCAGACTTTCTCATTGACAGAGGGCTTGCTGTGTTTGTCCAGCCTGAGACCTTTTCAATGACTGTTTGTCTTTCTAGGCCAAATGGAGAGCTGGGGCTGGGTGGATTGCTGCTGTTTGGCTGCTCCACTGCCTTTAGCCTCCCCCTGACAGATGCAGAGGTCCCCAGCGTGGGTTTCAGGCTTTAAGGTGGCCAAAGGCTTGCCAGCTCTGTCCACAAAGTGAATCTGATAAGAAATCAAATATCTCGGTGGGTTGAGGATGGATTGTTTATGACGGTCTTAACTAAGAAATGGGACAGCCAGGACCAGATGATAGAAATTATACCTTTCCCCTCCCCCAATCTGGTGAATTTTATGTTGACTTTGTTTGAAAAATCAACCAGTGATGGCTTCCAAATGGGTCTGGGGAGGAAGCCATGTGATGGATCCCACACCACCAGAGCAGAACAGGGTCTACAAATCTGCAAAGAAATTCCTTTCCTCTCACTTCCACCAGTGACAACTCAATCTTTAACCTGCAACCTTGCAGAGAACTCCCAGCCCTCTCCCATTTCATCTCACTAAACTCAATTAATAAATTTAAAGAAAATAATGGGGGCTTCTCACATAATAAATTCAGATTCTAGAAGTTAGAAATGTTTGAAAACTGACTGACTGAAAGGGTACTTAATTCTACCTGCAAGGGAGATCAACAAATGAGTTTCAGATAAAAATCTAGTTGAGAAATGATGATTTTAATAATTTTTATCATTAAGGATATATTGTTTTGTAATAAATATGGGTAGTTCCAAGCAGAGTTCTTTTCTTTCACTTCCAAATTTGAAAGGCTGAAAGACTCTTGAGACCAACACCTTCTTTTGTACATTCAGGCCACACAATCTTGCCATACAAACATGTATGAAATTATTTAGCCAGTGACTGTCCCTTTTTTCTTTCCTAACAGGCTCAAAGTCAGAAAATGAGATACAAGACTTCATTGGTGATGAGGAAACGATTACGGCTTTACCGAAATGCCCTGAAAGAGTCAAGTAAGTTAAAATCCTCTTTTGAATATTGATTTGCTGAAGTTTCTTTTTTTTTTTTTCGAAGTAGTGTTGTTTTGTCTTTTGCTTGTGTTAGGTAGTAAGTCTGCGGGTGTTTCTGAAGTTCAGATGAAACTTAGAAGAACACCTTGGTGTTTGATGCATTTGCACACAAATCAGCGACACAACGTCCCACCAGCAACCAACTAATCCCCCTCAATGCCTACTCATCTGGACATTCTAGAATTAATATTTGACGACTCTCTCATTGAAACAACCACCCCTGACCTTCTGCAGTTCCACTGTCACATTATTCTATGACATATTCATCTTGAATTCATTTCCAGACGATTTGATTGGAATGAGGTTTGACATGTATTGGCTTCCATGAAAGGAGCACACTTTGATCTTGGTGATGGGGTTTACATGATATGCATCATCTTTACCAGGGACACCAGCCTTCTGCAATGTGGCTGCGACGACGTTCCCACAATGTGGTGTCTGAACAGGGAGTGACTGACAGCTGCTCGGTCAGGAATACCTCCATTGTGAAGAATTTAATTTAATATTCTATTTAGAATAAGCATATGATTTAGGGTTGGATATTTCCCCTTCTAAGCATGTACTTTACCTCATTTCAACTACACCACCATCTGACAGTTGCCTCCAAAGTGTTTCTTTGTTGGTAGGAAAAGCAACCTCCTTAACAAAAGTTAAATGATAAATCAGGAAATGACTCTCTTCTATTATTTTGGGATGATCCGATGGCAGAATTCTCAAGACAGGTGTGGATATTATGTAAATTCAGTTGTTTTAATTCCTCAGGGCTGTTCTGAAAGATCTTTTAGACTTGTTTCTTAATCTTTTGTTGAAAGATGTTTTGCAGAGCCATTACTTGAAAATTAATTTCTATCCAAGTATATTTTCTCTCATACTTAGTTCCATTAATGATGACTGAAGCCCAAACTTGCATAACAGAGGGGAGGGACATCCATCCTCCTTTATCTCCAAAATCCTGATAGATTTCATCTCCTTTGTACAATATGTGCTTGAACATAGGGTGGGCTCCTGGGGCTTAAGTTCTTTAACTCCCCCCCCGCCCCCCCTCCAAGAACAGAGACAACCTCTCACTGCAGGAATCCTGAGGTCTGTTTGTGAATAGCCTAGGAAGAGATATGGCCCTGGTTTGGGGTGGTAACCTGGTCAGAAACAAGGAAGAAAAGATGGATCAAGTGACTGCAGATCTAGGTGCAGAGCATCCAGGCAACAAGGGTCATGCTTGGTCAGGTTCTGTGCAGTGAGTGGCCCTCAGCATCCAGGATCCTGCTCTGGGCATAAGCTGTAGCAGATAATCTTCATTTAGCACTGTTTAAAAGATCAAAATGGAAAAATGGCCTAATCATTTCTTTCCTTTCCAAGGGAGAGAGTTCAGGCATTCCCCTCATTTAAGCCAGTGATATGAGGAGCTCGGGCAGATGATATAATCACTAAATGTTTATTTCTATATAAAAAGACTAGAAAATCAGTTTAGTTTATGCTGTTGCATTGGACTGGCTGGGGAAAACAAGGGTGCTTAGGGCATGATTCTGGGCACTGGAGGGAAGTTTAGGGTCTGCTGGTGAAGCCTGCTCCAAACAGCCTACCCTGGGCTGCAGGATGTATCTTTTTTATGCAAGTCAAGCAGGAAACAATGCCATAAACCCCAGAATGCTTAGAAATAGAATGCTCCAGCCAAGCGTTTGGTATTGGGGTTAAGCGTGGTGAAATAACTTCCTGTACAAAACATTCTGATCACCACTGAGGGAAACACCATTCCTCAGTCTGCCCAATCAATAGTCAATGAAACCTGAACTCCTTACTACCTGCAAGACTCAAAGGAATTGCTCTGAAAACTAAAATATTCCTCTCTGACATGGGTGCCTTTTCTGTCCTCTGCGGCTAGCTAGATACTGCTGCTTTGGTGCTTATTTCAGAGATAAGCCTTGAAGGCCCTTACATAATTGTCCAAAGCTTCCTGTCTATAAATATTAGTGGGTAAAATGTTTTTTTTCTCCCTATCTCTGTCGCTGGGGAAATGTCCCTGTGGGAAAATGTCCCTGGTCTCAATGCTATGCGTAGCTACCAAGGTGTGAACCATGTGGCTCCAAGGAACTTGCAAGGATCAGACAACATGAGTGACCTGCAGGTGGACTGACCCCTGACTACTCAAGAAGTACCTACCCAGGATGTGTCCAGATGTTTTCAGTGCTTCAAGAGAAAGCTGCATCTGGGAGGGAGCTCCATGGGGCCACATAACTGTCGGTGAATTTGGCTGAATCAGATGTATCTGCACTTCTGCTGTTGGCACAAAAAGCCATACACATGTTCAGAGCTTTTCAAGGGTAAAGATAGTTAGAGTAGGTAGTATACTAACAGTTTCTGTGTATAAAACCTCTGCTTCTTATCCCTAAAGTCCACGGAGTAAATACTTAGAATTCAGGGGATCTGCAAAGTTGGATGGGGGGGGATTGCATATTAATTTTCACCACCTTCTAGTGGAGAGTTATCATTTTCTTCTATTATGAGTGTGGACAACCACAGGACTATTAGAATTCCTGACTTCACCAGGTTTCAAAAAGGGTCCACAGCCTGAAACAACTTAGATAACCTTGTTCTGCACTGTTATTCAAAGCTTTGAGCAGGTGGGGTCACAGTGTCTATATTAAGACATCCATTTTTGTGCAAATCCGAATTTTAATGGAAGTCAAAATGGATGGTGAGTTTGACAAACATCTTGAACAATAGATTGTAGATCGCTTACATTCAGTTAGGAAAGAAAATCTTTTAATTGCAGGACTACCCTGCACTTCAGTCTGAATGCTACAGGATAGGTTGACTAAGCTCTGTGTTGAGGGCTGTTTAGGAGAAACAGCTGGGCAAGGGGTTCCAGGGAGGAACACACACGTTTGGATGTTTGGTTTTGTTTTTTGTTATTTTCTGAGCCCTTCATGAATTCAGCCCAGATTCGCATAGACGACTGCGGCATTCAACACACACCTGCGCGGTGGGGAGCCTTGAAACCACTCACTGAGAAGTGGGAGCACCTCGCTAGAGAACACTCCTGACCAGGTTTGGAAGAAAGGAAAACAGGCGCCTGTAGACAGATGTGTAAATCCCAGAAAGTGAGTGTGTGGGAGAGGGTGAAAGCTAGGAAAGAAGACAAATCCTCAAAGTCTAGTCTCAACACTGCTGTGTTGGTTTACAGAGCAGAAGGGGTTTGGCTGTCAAATGCTCTCCTTCAACTTTTTTTTTTTTAATGCTAACGTAGCATCTATTGGTAGCGTTGCTTAAGCTCTTCCGGCTGGAGAAGCAAAAAGACCTACACTTGTCAAAGCCGAGGGAAATTGTTGTGGAAGTTAATCCCCCCTAAAATGCGCCCTGAGAGGGAACAATGTATTAGATGAAGAAAGTCTGAAAGAACCTGCCAACCATTATAAATAAGTTAATTATTTTTAAAATTTAAAAGAAATCCTTATTTACTGACTAGGACATGTATAAGAATAGTCCTTGGTGCTGGGGATAGGTGGGGCAGCTCAATCAACCCTGAGTCAGAGTTCCTTGTAACCTCTCCAATCTTCTCATCTCTGCTAGGGGTGCGAGGTCTTTTAATCAATCCCTAAATTTTTTCTTAGAAAACCAAGCTTTTCTATGTTTTGGGGGGGGGCTTTTTATGGCCACCAAGGATGCCCAATTACTTAGGCTGGCATTTTCGTCTAGAAACCAAAGCAGGGGTCGAGGCCAGCAGAACTTTAAATCGCCAGGCGATGCCGCCAGCCCTAGCCAGTCGGCACCAACAAAGGACATCTCCCACCCCCGCGCCCGTTTATACCACACTCGGCTGGGCCAGAACTGAAGGTTGTTGTTGTTTGTTTTTTTTCCCCGCCGTCAGCCTCCCAACCCCCACCCCAAGACTATGGAACCCGTAGCCCGGGAAGGCATCCGCCAGAGGTCATGGGCCCACAGTCCCTCTCATTGCCTGGGCGGGGAAACGTGGTGTCCGCTCTTCTCGGAGCCCTGAAGGCAAGAGAGGAGGAAGGCAGAGACTTTGACCGTGAGCAACAAGTAGCGGGAGCTGAAAGTGGAAGTGATCCCCAAGTCCCCTTTCCCAAAGGCTCCGTCTGGCGGCAGGGCACAGAGCTCTAGACCGCAAATTGACAGAGGGAGACCCGGGGAACCAGAAGCTGTTCCTTCTTGCTGCGCTCCCCTAGCCTTTGTTTCTTTGGCCAGTCCGCCCGCGGGTCGGCGTGATTTGTAGTTGGGAGGATTTTTAGCCCCTCTCAGGGGGGCTGTGTGGTTTCGAGGCCAGCCTCTCCGAGGTCATCACCACCTCCAGCCCACTTCTGGCTCTGGCCAGACAGAATTCTTGGGTTCGCGCGTCTCAGAGCGCCAGGCACCCGGGAGGAGGGAGCGGCAAAGCTAAGTGGGAAGAAGGGAGTGGAGAGAAAAGACAGGGGGAGGAGAGAAGAAAGGATATAAGTAGGAAGGTGAAGTGTGGTCAGGGCTTTCGGAGAAATGAGATAGATGATAGATAGGTAGGTAGGTAGATAGATTGATAGATAGATAGATAGATAGATAGATAGATGATAGATACATAATTTCAGAGAAAGCGAAAAAATAAAATTAGGCGCAAGGGCTGCTAGCCTAGGAGTTCCTTCGCTCTCCATCGTCTAGTCTTGAGCCGCCTTTCCTCCCTGGATCCCGGCTCCCGCCTCCTTCGGGCTCCTGCAACAAACCACCGAAGCCGTCCCTGCTCGCCAGGTGCTGTCCATCAGCCCCGGCAGGGCTAGGTACGCTAGGTCTGCCCCGAGGACATTACCTGCAGCCCAACACCCCCTCCCCAAAGTCGTAGAGAATCCAGCCCCGCTCACTTTCAAGAACAGTGAGGCAGAGCAGATCCACCAAGATTTCGGGAGAGGAGGGGGAGGAGGCTCAATAGAAGAGAAAAGAATTCTTGCCCGGGTCAGAGCGCATGAGCAGTAGAAGCTGGAGATGCTGAGGGTAGGGGAGGGGGGGGGGGGTAAGGAGCGGGGGCAGTGTGTGTGTGTGTGTGTGTGTGCGCGTGCAGCGAGACCTGTCATCGCTGACGTCGGGCCGGGCTGCGGGCCAATGGGCGACCTAGACGATTGTTCCTCTCGGCGGGCCCCCGTCAAGGCCCCGAATCTCTATTCAATTCCTCACGCGCCCCGCTGCTGCCTCTGTAGTGTTCGGGTTTCAAGTAGGCTTTAAAGACCAAGAGAGAGGGAGGGGGAAAAAGTCACAATCCAAAACTTGATGGGGGGAAAAAAGTTTGCAGAAGTTTTTTGTGATTGTTCTTTCCCCTCCACGCTGTCAGGTGACGGTGGCCTGAGGGACCCCACCTAGGGAGCTCCAGGGAGTCCGAGCCCGGATGCAGCAGGCCGCCACTCCCAGCCGAGCTGGGCGCTGAAATTAGTATATATGGCCCCGGCGCTGCAGCACCACCACCGCCACGTACATCACCTCTTCCCTCACCCCACCCCCACCCCCACAGGGTGCGGGGACCCAGAGCGCCGCGGGGAGCTGGTCGCCCCAGCGAGCTTGGGGCGCAAGTCCGACCCCTCTGGAGCACAGCCCAGTGGCCTCCAGCAACCCACAGACTCAGCACTGCGCGCCCCACTGCCCCTTCCACTTACCGCGCCGCCACCATCCCTCTCCGGCTCATGGAGCGGCAGGGGGCTCTACCCATCAGCCGCCCAGCCGGCCCGCGGCGGAGGTGCTTGGCCTCGCGTGGTCCAACAGGTTTGCTGCCGCTGCCGTCTGGCTTCTGGTCCCGGTGCTGACCACGGAGGCCGCGGTGCGGTTGGGCTGGGCCTGCCCCCCCGGGGCCAAGTGGAACGCTCAGCCCACGCCGCCCGTTCTCACGCTCGCTATTTGTCTCGACAACAGGTAGTAGCTCTGGACATCATGGCCACCAGCTCGCTGCCGCCCTCAGCCCTTCGGTGTTTCCCGGCCTTCACGAGCAGCTTCCCCAGGCCTCCGCCAGCGGTACTTTGAACGGACTTCTGCGTCTGAGGCTCCCCGGAAGAGAAATGTACTCGCGGCCCGAACCCTTCGCGCCGGGACCCGTGGCCCGCAGTGACGCCCTGGCAGCTGCCGCGGCCCTGCACGGCTACCGGGGCCTGAACCTGACCGTGAACCTCGCCGCGCCCCACGGTCCCGGCGCCTTCTTCCGCTACATGCGCCAGCCGATCAAGCAGGAGCTCATCTGCAAGTGGCTGGCGGCGGACGGCCCAGCGGCCTCGCGCCTCTGCTCCAAAACTTTCAGCACCATGCACGAGCTGGTCACGCACGTCACCGTGGAGCACGTCGGCGGCCCGGAGCAGGCTAACCACATCTGCTTCTGGGAGGAGTGTCCGCGCCAGGGCAAGCCCTTTAAAGCCAAATACAAACTTGTAAATCACATCCGCGTGCATACGGGCGAGAAGCCCTTCCCCTGTCCTTTCCCTGGGTGTGGGAAGGTCTTTGCTAGATCAGAAAATCTCAAAATACACAAAAGAACTCACACAGGTCAGTATTCGGCACTATCTCATGCGGATCCTCTGGGGAAGCAGGCGGCTTCTTCCGGGCCTCGGGCTGGATTTCCTCAAGTTTCATCTGGGGAGAGGGAGGGATGGTTTGGTGTTTCCATGAGCCAAGTCCATAAAATATTAATTATGCCCTTCTATTAGAGTCACAGAAGTTTCCCGAGGTTGTGTGTGGGGAGGATAGTTCGGGATTTCTACTCTGGGGGGCGAGGGTGAACGTGTTTGGGTCTCTGTGTGTGCAAATGTATGCTCCCTGCTCATCGAATTTGATTTTAAAGTATTTAAAACAGCACTGTTTCCCCAAATCTTAAAGACAGGGACAATTCAGTTTTCCCGGTTTCTTTGGCGAGCACTCTTCCATCGGTCAGTCTGACAATCTGACCACCACCTGAACTGAGGGGTCATCAGGGCCCTTGGCGCCTTCTTTAGGATTTGGGGTCTTTGGGCTAACTTAGGCCCTGTTTTGGATTCTTGGTGACTTGACACTTGGGACATTTGACAACTGGCCTCCTCCCTTTGCTTTAGCAGAGATCCAAGGAGACTCATCCGCCTTAAATGTCACTTACTGAGCTGTTAAGTGAAATGGGGACATGTGTCAACCACATCTGTTAGTTCTAGTTAACAGAAAGAAAAGGAGCCGGCCCAAGAGCTTGTAAAACCGAACTTCTCTGGCCAGAAGCATCTCTAACTAATGCAATTGCAAGGAGAAAGTTTTCACACTTCCCAGAACAGCCTGTGTAGTTACTACATTAATTAGTTTAGCAGCCGATGTTTGTACGCTGTTTAGCTAAGGTTTTCTCGCCCTCCCCAAGTTTAAGAAGTTAACGTCTCCCCTCCTTGTTTTTTGTTTGTTTGTTGTTTATGGGTTTATTTTTTGGGGGGGGTGGGGGGGTGGAGAAGAGGACCAGTGGTGAGACCAGGGAATGAAATAAGTTCCAGCTTCATGCCCCTCTTCTCCTACTCCTTGGCGCTCTGCCTTACGCACCTCTATTATTGGTGGAAACACTGGCAATTATTAGAGTCAAAGAATTCCCCCAGGCTCGCATTGCCTGGAAAAGAAGCTTGCTAAATCCTGCCTTCTCCCCGAAACCCTGCAATCTTAGAGAAGGTCCGTGGCCAAGACACTGGCACACGAGGAGGCTAAACCAAAGTGCACTTCTAGTCTCTTTATTTCCGGAGCATGTCTGAAATGTATGGTTTTCCGGAGCTGTTTCCAGGATGCCTCCCACCCCACGCAAGCCTTTGTTCCCCGCCCCCCTCCGAGTTTTATCCCGGGGGAGGTGAGGTAGTGATCACCGCCCACAAGCCAGCTACTCCATAAACTGGCAGCAGGTACTGCGAAGGTAGACGCGAAGTCCTGAGCCAGAGAAGGAACTCATTTTTAATGACAGGGGGGTTTAAACAAACAAACTTTTACTGCTCTTCGCCGGCCTACTGTTTGAAGTACGTGAAGCAGAAAATGATTAAATTCTTAGTGCAATCATCGACCTACAGCAGAGAAGCAAGTTCAGTGCGCCCGGGCTGGCTCAGGTGTGTGTCTATTCAGGACCGAATTCTAAGTACGTCCTTTCCACTGGCAGTCCTGATTCATTATTGCTGGAGTTAAAAAAAAAATCAACAGAGCCTCGCCTGCTCCGCTGGCGTTTCCCTCAAATCTCCCTCCTAAATAATGAAAAGAGAAAAACAAACAAACAAACAAACAAACAAACAAAAAACCAAAAAACAAAATGTTTCTCAAATGGCAATAGACCTCACTACAAATTATTCATGAAGACAGTTCTAGATTCAACAGGAAAATAATTGCCTTTTCAAATATTAATGGCGTTTCATTTCCTCGAATCGTGGAAGCGGCGAATAGGAGCTGATTTTTCATGAGTTAAAATTCTGCCGGATCTGAATCCCGGGCCTGGTTTCAGAGGCAGATGCCCCAAGCCCACATCGAAAGGTTTCACTTTGTGGAGGTCACAGCAATCCCGGAACAATGGTGCCGCCGCGAGGGAGCTGCGGGCCAGCCGCCGCGCTCTGGCGGGTCCCCGCCGCCTGGCACCTTCCCGGGACCCCTGGGCTGGGGGCTGGCCCCACCCTTCCAGGCAGTCGGTAAAAAGAGGCAGGGCTGGGGATCCCAGGTAGAGAAGAGACCAGGTCTGGGAGGAGAGGCTCGGACAACCCGGGCCAGCCACAAGTGCTAGAAAATGGCGCTAGCGAACTGCCCCGCCACTGCCGAACTTTGTCTGGCGGGCCCGGCGCGGACCCGGGGCTGGGGCCCCCCCTCTCCACTGTTGAGCCTCTGGGAGGAGACTCCGGCCTTTCACGACTCAGTCCCAGGCCCAGGCTGCTCGGGGCGGGCTGCAAGGCCCTGAACCAACCCTGCCTCTCCACATCCACCCATCCAGGGCGCAGCGCCCAGGCCTGGTGGGAGGGAGCAGGAAGGAGGCAGTGTGTTGCGGGGGGTGGGGGTGGGGGGGCAGTGTTAGGCCTGGAGACCTGGGCGCCTTCTGCAACTGGGAAGAGGGCTCAAGGGCACGGGGGCGGAGATGGGGGAGAGGCCTCACTTGGCCTCCCAGCGGCCTCGGAACTTCCAGGCTATCCGTATCACCTTCAGTGTCCTGTTGTTGTTGTTGTTGTTTTGTTTTGTTTTGCCTCTGCTCCTCGTCTGAGACGAAATCACTGTTTCTGTTTTACAAGAATGTCCAACGAGGCTCTCACAAGATGGAATAAGTGTGTGGGGGAATATTTGGTGGGGGGCATTCGATCTCAAGTTCCATTCCTCCTCTGTTTTCTCAGCAAATCTTTTCTTTTGCAGGCCCTGACTTGCATGATTCTTGTGATTTTAGGGGGGGGGAAAAGAAAGTTTTAGTTTTACAGATTCTAACTGGGGTTGGGGGAAGGGGAATGAGGAACAAATAGGGACACTGATTTATTCTGCATTTCTCTTATTTTATTTATTTTTATATAAAACGGTACCGGTTTCCCGAGAAAAGGCGGATTTCAGCACCGTTAAGTGTTTCACTGTACTAGCAATAGTCCTGAAGCGGGGAGGACGCAGAGGCCGGCCAGGGAGCGAGCCCTGGGCCCACAGCCTGGGCTCTGCCGCGCGGAGAATGTTATGCGCAAACCTCTGGTTCAGCCTGAGCCTTAGCAGGCCTTCCGAGTAGGGGCTTTGTTTGTTCAAACCTGTCCCAAAGCGCCAGTCTATCCTGGAAACGGCGGGAGAAGCGACAACAAAGGCAACAGTCCTCCAGCCCTGCACATCATCCTCCTTGGCCAGACGCTTGGTAGCCGTTCCCTCTACCCCGGCGCCCGGCGACGGCCACTTGTTTAAAAGCGCTTAGATCCTTCCTCCCCTCCTTCACGCAGCTGCAGCTCCAGCAGGAATCCGGGCTTCCGGGTTCTCGGCATCCTGTCCTCCCACACACACCCGCGAATCCAGCGGGCGGTGAGCTCCGGCATTGGGGCTCGGTGCTCGGTCAGTATTTCCACCCTAATGCGCGCTCGTGCCTTCCCGCGTCTCTACAGGACATTGCACCAGGGAGCTGAGCCCCTCGCGGGTGTACCCATGCTGCCCACATGCCCTCTGGTCGGCGGAGCTGGGCATGGCCTGACTGCAGCAGCTGCACTCATACCGAAGCCACCACGCTCAAGGGTGCGATTGCGGGATAGGCCGCGGATGGGACTTGGCCCGGGCAGACCCTGCCGTGCGGGGCTCCTAGGCGCAGGCATGCCAGGCTCCACTGCCGAGCGTGGGTGGTCTGGGGAAGCCAGTCGACCTCTCACAGTCAGTTCGGACTGGGAGAGCAGGCTGCCCGTGGCAGGGTCTCCGGAGGCCGCTGGAGCGGCGTAATAAAATAGTACTGCCAGCGCGCGTATCTAGAGGGATCCCAGAAGGGTTAGGCAAGATTTGAAGAATGCTGCTAAATGTTTGTCCTCAGGGGGTAGGAGGAAGGGGGAGGGGGCTCTATTTCCCGTAAAAATCGCGTCTGAAATGAGTCTTTGCTCAGAATACCTTTCTCTACATCACAAATCCACATTATGCCCATGCCATGTGCATCGGCTGCGCATCCTTAAATTGTCCCATCGCTTTGGCGTTTGCACAAAACCTACTTTAGGAAACAATTTAAGCCAGGATGGGGTGTGTGTGTGTGGGGGGGTGAACTGCTTGGTGGGGGCGGGGGCAGAGACGTTTGGCTGGAACAACAACTTTAAATTGAGCAGATGCGAGCTCCTCAGTCAACTCATTCTCTGGGCAGAGGTGCTTCTGGCTCCGAGTGGAGAAGAGTTGGAGGAAAACAACCGGAGTGGATCAGGATTTTCCAGGATGGAAACTTTAACTAAGATGGAGTCTTTGTCGCTCCTCCTCCGTACCCTCCCCCAGGCCCAGGCGGGAGAGGGGGAGGGGTGGAGGCCTGCAGGAGGGAGCTCAGGGGTCGCGCTCCGAGCGGGGAAGAGAGGGCCGGGTTTGAGGGGCCGAAGAAAAAGCTTTATGAAAATCTTTACTGGTTCTTTTCCAAATAATGGCAGAGAAATTGGGAAAGGGTTGTGAGGCCGAGCCGGGCCGCGGCTTACGCGCACTAATGTGTCTGCATTGCCTCCACCAGGGGAGAAGCCCTTCAGGTGTGAGTTCGAGGGCTGCGAGCGACGCTTTGCCAACAGCAGCGACCGCAAGAAGCACTCGCACGTGCACACGAGCGACAAGCCATACACGTGCAAAGTGCGCGGCTGCGACAAGTGCTACACGCACCCCAGTTCGCTGCGTAAGCACATGAAGGTTCACGGGCGCTCGCCGCCGCCGCCTAGCTCTGGCTACGACTCGGCCACGCCATCTGCCCTCGTGTCACCCTCGTCGGATTTCGGCCGTGAGCCCCCGGTGGCCTCCTCGGCGGCGGTGGCGGCGCGTGGTACCGACTTGAGCGAATGGTACGTGTGTCAAGGCTCTGGCCCAAGTCGCGGCTGCCAGAGCCGCGCTCCCAAGCCGGGAGCCACCACCTGGCTATGCTGTTGCCGTCGCCGCCTCGGGTTAATTAGGGCTGCTGCTGTGGTTGCTGCTTCTGCGTACACTGACTGCTAGTCTAAGCTGGGTCATTGAGGCTTGAAGAGGAAGGAAGGGAGGGAGGGAGGGGAAGGAAGAGTTGTTAGAGCTCATTGAATATACTGATAAAATGTCCATTATTTTAAAACATAGATATGGTACTCTTATTTATTCTGTAATCACACCCAGTACCCCCAACTCACCCACATACGTCCTCATGTCTGGGTAGCATGGAACCAGTGTTGGGGTAAAGAAAATAGAGAGACAGGCAGAAAGAAAAAAATATATGTTATGAGAGTTTATATGCAACAACTGCAGATGGCAAAAGACCGCAAAGTCCTCATTAGTTAACAGAATGGGAAATGTTTTCCTCGAGGCCTGGGCCGCTCAGATTGCCACCCCCACCCTCACCCGCACCCCCTTCCCAGCTCTCAGTTAGAGCCTTCTCAGAAATCTGGATTGCCTAAGGTGTCAGAGAGAATTCCTGAGCTGTTATCCCATCTCCTATTTCCTTGCTGTTCTGCTTCCTACACTTCCCCTCCCCCCAACTATCCTCTGAAACAAAAATACACAAGTTCCATATCCCAAAATTTCCAATCACTTCTATAAAGGAGATAAGAGGATCTCAGCACCATCCCCTGGAGATCACGTGCCTCTCCTCATGGACTGGCCCAAGCACACAGATACACACCTCTGACTGCTTGTCTGTCTGCTTTGCATATACTTGAGGTGTACTTGAGGTAGGGGGTGAGTCCAAACAACAGGAAATACAGACAAAAGGATGCTAGAGGTGCTTTAGGATTCAATGCTCTGAGTCACCCTCAGACCAATCACCCTCTACCCACCTCCCACCCTTGTCCAGTCGCTGCCTGTAGAATCTAGTGGGTGCTTGGCGCTAAGTGTACAGTGGGCCAATGACGTCACTGGAGCCGAGGCCTCCACTGTAAAGCGATCCCACCTAAGCAGTCTGTGTCTGGATAACTCGCATCAGTTCTGTGATGGTCTTTTTCAAAAAGTGCACAGTGTTGGTCTTATTTTTTTAAAGGGTGGGGAGGAGACAAGAGATGATCTGAATAATAAATGTTTTAAAGGCAAACACACAGTAGGTCTAGATTGAATGTGTATTGTATGTGCTGGGTACTAAGTCCTGAGAAGAAGAACCAGATGTTGGGGACAGGAGAGAGGAAAGCCTTTGTAATTGTTGCTAAGGGGGGAAAAAAATCAGGGCCTGTTTTCCCATCTGCCACCCTTAGGGAAAATGGGGTTTCCCGGAAATCCTTGCTGAGATTTGGAGGGGGAAAAAAAAGAAAAAGAAGGGAAGAGGGAAGATAAGTAGGGGTATGTTAGTCCCACCTAGTGGGGGCACCGAAAGAGCTCAATTTTAAAAGTTGAGCCCAACAAACAAATCCTGACCCCACCACTCTACTGGATTTTCTTGTGCTCTCTCCTCTTCGGACACATCAGACAATTCTCACTCCTGCCCCACAGCCCCACAGCTCTATCAGATAAATAACGTCCTCACTGGAGTGGGACTGTTTTCATTACCTCTAATAAAAAACAGAATCTTCCCCATACATCCTTAGTGAATCTGCCCTCGTGGAAGGACGGCTACAACCTTCTCTTTCCCCCACTACAACAGTGCCCAGAGTTTTCCTGACCAAGGGCCGGGTTGGCAGCAAATACCATGTCCACATCGGGAAATACCCGCCCCAAGCAAGGTGCAGAGGGCGTCTAGGGAACTTGAGCCTTCTGACGATGTTTAAAAAGTCTCACTTCTCCAAATTGGACTCGTTTCTTTCTCTTCTATTTCTAGACCCCATTTTGCCTTCCACCCCCATCCGAAATAATGAAATAAAATAAAAATGTTTGGTCGGCCACTAATCGCCTTTAATTTTTCATTTGCTTGTTACAGATGTCCACCGCGTTGCTCGCAAGGTAGTCTCTCCCGGCGCAGCTGAGCTCCCGCATCTCGCGCCTGCGACATCAAAGAGTTCGCGCACAAAGCAATGTTTCTTCGCCACGGTGCATCTTCATGGTAAGTTAGGATTTCTATGGCAATGGGCAAGTCGCACTGAAATCCTGAAAGGCCGAGCCTGGAGCCCGTCCAGGCTTTTCATTAAGGACATAATATTTACGTCTAACAGGCCTTTTTTCTTGTGTATACAAGTATATATTTTTGTTTGACGCGGACTAAATCATTTTCATTTAATTTCCGGTAAACAAAACCCACGCGAATGGGCACTTGTTCCCGATCATAATAAAAATGGATAATAATGTGAGGGAAGAAAAGGGCCGCTTGAATCGCCGCTCAGCCTCCTTTGTTTCTGCTTTCTGCGGTGATCAGAGGGCGCATTTGGGTTTGATGGCGAGTTTCTAAAGGCGAGGAAATGGTTTGTAAGAAGGGAAAGAAAAGGAGAAAGGTCTAATCAAGCTCGGGTTGTTCAAAGAGTCGGGTTTTGGGGTTGAAAGTGTGAGTTTGACGGTGCATCAGCACGCCGCGTTAGGATCGCCATGGAAATGCGCGCAGGGAGCGGCCGCTTCAAAGGCGGCACACTTCACTGCAGATACTCTATTAAGATACATTTGCGCTGACCTTTGCTTTCACGCCATTTAATACTGTCACTACGTTCTCCAGTCTATACTTCCTCCCTAGGACCTGTTTCGACGGCGTTTAGGGGTTCACCCTGCACTCTAATGTAGGGAGGCGCTTTGGAGCCAGGGACGATTTCGGGAATGGGACGTGCCGGATTCCGTCCACCTTGGCCGCACCCCAAAGGGGCTCCAAGGTCAGGAGTAAATAACTATAGGGCAACCTCAGAAGCTTAGCAAATGAGCATCCCCAGCTCGATTTTGTGCAAAGCACTTCTCTGCATCTTGAACAAGGTGGAGGCCTGAATTTGAATGGCATTTGCAGGGCAAGGAACCCACCTTGGATGAGTCTGGGAATTTCAGACTGTGCCTTTGGGACTTTTCCACTTAGGCCCCCAGTACAGCCCGTTCTGCCCCCTCTATCCCAGAAGTCTCTTTGCAGCCTCCCAAACTTGTTTCTCCCCTGGGTGGTGTGTATGGTACTCCACAGGGCTGGACTGGCCCTGCGCACGAGCTCAAGAGCCCAAGGCCAAGGGAATAGGGAAGATGGCAGGAAAGTTAGAAGTCTATGTTCCCTTAATTGTCTTGTTGTTTATTTTATCCAAGTACCCTAGTGAATAGGGGAAAAATAAACATGGTGGAAAAAAATCAAACAGTGGAGTCTTCTTTAGTGCCAGTCCTTGTGGTTGAATAAAAAGGATGGTCCGCTTTCTATTGAGCTGAGAAATCTTTGAAGTGGGAGTTATTATCTGAGACATTCCTGCTTGTCGTCCTAACAACGCTGATGAAACGTAAAAGGTTCTTTGTCAGCGATTTGTTCTCCTCTCTGTCAAACTCCCTCTGCCCTGTTAGTTTCAAACCGTTTCTAAAGAGATAAAATCAAAATTCTTTTTAAAAAATACATGCATGCTATACTAACTGATAACTTCAGGACTAAGTCCTGCTAAGGGAAAAAGCAATGGAATACAGAGATATCAGGTCCAAGTCCTCTAGAAGTGTGCAGATGTGGAGGGGCCCTTTGCACAGGCTCTGGGATGTGGGGAAAGAATGCGGAGATGGTGCAGGCAGAGCCCACATACTGAAAGCTCACACTGCGTGTCAGCTTCTCTATGTTCTGGCCAGCACTCTGTTGGTCCAAGTCAGGTCACCTGGAGCCTCCTTTGGGGACCCCTCAAACTCCCAATATTCTTGGCTGGGACCCTTGGAACATAATGCTACAGCCAAGAGATTGTTAATATTTCCTGCTCCTTCAAAGACAGTCTCTGCTAAAAATAGACCCATTGTGTGTTTCTTCTCACTAGCAGCAGTTGGCAAGCCCTTTCTGCCATTAACAGAAAGGAGAGTGGCTTGAGGGAGACATTGTTTACAATTTCCTGTTTTCATCAGAATCTTAGAGTTCAGAAGATTCAGTTTACAAAATAGTGACCCCAGTGCATGCAAATTACCCGCTCCCATCCACATATGCAGCTCTTCATTTTATATTGTGCCCAGGAAAGAAACTTTCACCCTGTCCAGCTTTCCCCAAACCTCCTCATGTGGTTTTAAAGGTGGTTGAAATAAACAAGGACATTCCAGCCTTCCCACCCTGTGTGTACTGACTAAATGATTTGTAAAGTTTCCCCAAGCTGTAACCCATGCTGTTATTATAGTTGCCACAAAATGTTGTCTCTTATATTGATTTTTATTTGCTTACTCTAGGTCCCCATATGTTTATTTATATCACTAATTTATGGGAAAATGTAATGATTGCAATGAATGTGAATTATATAGACAGGCAAATGTTTTGTAATCATAATTCTCACACACACACACACACACACACAAGCCTGACTGAAACCTTAGACTATTTAGTACCCTCTTTACCCACACTGTTTGTGATTTATCATCTGTCCCCTTAGCATCCTTAAATTATGAACTAACTTGAAAGAAAAAAAAGTTATGTATGTGACTGAAAGTGATTGTTGAATGAAAACATAGTCGAAAGCCATGGCTTAATCTTGCTGTAAATATGTAAAAATAAATTAAATTCTGTGATTGTTTTTCCCTCCAAAGATCATTGTGTACATGGAGCTCCATTTTGCTATTTTCTTTGGAAATAAAGGATGTGGTGTTTTCCTCCCTCTTTTGAATCTGAGTGTCTTGTTATTGCTTCATCATCCTGGGAGAGATTTGGGGCCCTCCCACAACCTTCAGTCCTCTCCCCTGCCTTCTCTCACTCTTCACAGAAACATCTCTGAAGCCTAGTTGTTCAGGGTGGCAAAACAGAGGGATCCACCAAAGTGGCCATCGTGGAGAAGACCTCCCTCATCCCCAATTTCATCCCAGTGACATTGGCACTCATCAACCCAGAAAGGCTATCTTCTCGAGGCCAGGGCCTCAGCGCACCCTTTCACAAAGTATCTCTGTCTTTCCAGAGGAAAGCCTCATAGTTGGCAGAAATAAAAACAAAGAAAGAAAAGAGATTGCAGGCTGGCTCCAATCCCTTTCTAAGTCCTGATGGGGCACAGTTGGCCGCAGGAGTCTTCTTAGTTTGATTCCACCCGCTCCGGGAGGGGCGTAGCGGACGCTCTGACCTCTCGACTTCTTTCAGAGAGCTGCGAAGGGCCAAGCCCTAAGACTGTGTGACTACAGCCCACGCGAATCTTTCCTGGGCCCCGACTGGGATCTTCAGCGGGTGTTAGCATCTGATGCAGAGGCCCCTTGTCTGACCCTGCCACTGGAGAAATTATTTCAGATGCATCAGACCACCTACATCACCAGAGCCTTCTTTCCACCTCCACTGCGGTCACTGAGCCTCTAGGTCCCTGGAGTCCCCTCTTTTATCCCGCTCCTACTGCGCAGGCGCGGACTCTGCCGGCTCCGCCAGGCCCTTTTTCAACTCCTGAGAAGTGGCTTCCGGCGGGCCTGGCTGGGGTGGGGGCTGCACTGAGTGGGAAGAGGACGGCTCTTGGGGTCGGAATGCTGGGTCTCCTTAGAGAACATCTTGGAGACCCAGCTTCGAGCGCAAGGGCTGCAGTCCTGAAGAGAAGGTTGGGGGAGGTACCCCAGCGCACAAAGGCGCTGACGCGACGCGCGGGTGTGAAAAGAGCGGTCACGAGGGGAAGGCCACTGGAATGGCCATGACACGCCCGGGTCGGTGGGAGCCACGAGGGAGGAGGTCCATGGGCGTTAGTGCCGGAGTTAGCGCCCCCTTCCGTCTCTCACGCGGAAGGATCCCCCTCCTCCGGCTCCGGGACAAGTTTGAGGGGTGTCTCCTGTTGCGTCTGTCTCGCAGACTTGGCCTCTTTCAAACAGCGCGATCTTTAAGACCCTTTCACCCACCGAATCAGTGCGGTGGTGAGCAAGTGGGGATTGGGAGGGAACCCGGGCATCCCCAGCCGGGGTCTTCCGGGCCTCCGAGTCTCCGCTTGCGGCTCCAGCTGCCTGGAGTCCGCGAGGCCACGCAAGGAGAGATCCCAGTTCTTCCGCCTGCCCTACTCCATCCCTCCCTGGACAGCGCGGTGCCGGGAGGCACCGGGGAGTTGCACCGCCCCTCCCCCCCCATTCCCGGAAGTGGAGAGAAAAGAGCTTCTGAGGAGGGATGGCTCCCCCTGGAATCCCTTGCTGGTCCTGGAGAAGGAAAGGCCTGCCTTTGAACCCAGTCAGAGAGTTGGGGCAGGGGAAATCAAGGGAGTAGCGGGGAGAGGAAAGGGGAAGGGCTCTGGGGCACCTCAGAGCCCCTACCACTAGGAGAGCTCAGACTTCCTTTGAACCTTTATTTTTGGAAGAAAGTTGAATGGCGTAAACTTTGGCAAAGAGTGGAATTCACTGGTTCTCAAGTGCCCATGGCTAGCCTCACCCTAGACAAATGTCCTGTTCTCTGGGAAAGTTACCCACCTCCCAGGCCGCAATGGCAGCTCTGAGGGCAGTTTGGGGGACTCTTAGCCTGCTAATGATTCCTACTGGGTCTCTTCTCTTGGCTACTTCGAATAAGAGCACCAGGTAAAAACTACCGGCGGGCACAGTGGGGAGATTGTGGCCAGGAGCCAGGCTCTCAGGCTTGTCCACCTGTGGCGCTGTGCCTCTGGATAAGTGATGAAACCTTCCTGAGTTTGTTTCCGCATCTAGTAAAACAGAATTTAAAAGAATCTCCTCCACAAGTTTGGAGCATTAACAAGATAATCCTTGAAACATTTAGAATCTACATGTTGTTAAGTGCTTGTTTATTACTATTATCATTATTTTATTAAATTATTATTAGTTACACAACTTCATCTCTCAGACACCTCCCCTAGCATTTTCCTGAATCAGATCTCCAGACTCTCTAGGAAATGTGGCACTTCCAGGGACCTCAAGCTCCATAGCAGGGTGTGCCTCTCCAGGCAGCTCTTGGGCTAGCTGAGGGTCCTGAAACCATGTGAGTTTTTGTTCGCTGAGAGTTTTAGAGCCTGATGCAGTGGGGCACTGAGGCAGATTTTTTAAAGGCCCAAGAAAATGTAGAGGGAATCGAGTTTATTGGAGTGCAGAAAGAAGCTGCCTAAACCCAGTAGTCTAACTGTCACCTCCCCTTGTTAAGACTTGTTAAGACACTAGCACTGCGGTGTCCCAAATGTTGATTTTTTTAATCACAACTCCCTCAGGCTAGTGTTAGTCCCTTGTTGGCCTTTTGAAGACCCAGGTGTGAAGGGTGGGAATATGGGAGTGCGGGAGAGCAGGGGTGGGTGACCAAGGATAGAGCATATGGGAAAAAGTCACACAAAGGAACATTCTTCCCAGGAGGGCATCAGGGCCTTTTTCATAATGAAATTCAGTTTCTCATAGTGAATCCTCATTCTGGGAAAATTAATAACATCTTAGTTACCAAATGGCTGAGGATTCCATAATAACATGTTCCACTTGTCACCAACTTTCTGTCTGAGCATCAGGACAGAGTTACCTTTTTATCCAAATATCTTCAGTGAGAAAAATGCCTGAGAGTTTTCTAGGAACTTTATCAAGTTTGGACCCCAATACCATTCAGGCAAAAGAGAAACTCAATAGACAATTAGGGGAGGTTTTGGGATTTGCCTGTGAGTCTTCCAGTGGCTTTGCAAACATCCAAAACAGCTGCATAGGAAAGAAAAGATGAAGAAAATAGTTACCTCAGGTTGCAATTAATCAAATGTAAATATGACCAGAGAGATGGACTTGAAACTTGTTCTGCATTTTTGGTTTCTTTAGATCCAGTGTATACTCTATACAAGCCAACATAGAGGGTAAGAATGCTGATCAATTCAAAATAAGTAAAAGCAGGGATGTGCACAGTTCTGAACCTCAATGAATCAACAGCCATGGAAAATGTCTGCAGAGGGAAGAAGCGAAAATTGAGTATATTTCTATGGCTGTGGTTGTACCTTGAAGTTGTAGAATAATGACAAAAAGAAGGGGAAGCATATTATCCAATATTTTATTGGATAATTATTATCCAAATATTATCCAATGTTTTATACAAAATATCAGAAAAATGACCCAGCTTTCTCTTGTCTGTGACTGACGGCTGGCCCATGCAAGATCATATTAGCCAGATGAGGACAGTGCTCTTTGCCAAAACTGGGGAGAAACTGCAGAAAGCGCAAGGTCCCTGGCTTGTGCCACTGCAAGGTCTTGCTCAAGGTTTAATGGATACCTCTAGCTTTTGTATTCATTAAGTGTTTTTTAAAACCTATTTTAGTGAAAAGTGTTATGCCTGAAATGTATATATTTCTAAGTTATGAAAAATAGACATCTGTCTCCAAAAGCTCTGTTTATTTATTTTCTCTGAGAGATGAGGAGAGTTGCCTGATGCACGATGCATATAAGCAATTCCGAATCACACTGTACCCACTTTCACCTGAGAAAATTTAAGTGTTTCAAACGTGCCATAAAAATTCCCCCTACATTTTCTGCCACGGCAGTTAGTAAGCAAGGATTCCATAGTCAAATGCTTTCTAACATTAAAAAAAACTGCCAACTTTCTTAAAAACAAATGAAAAAACTGTTGTAGAAAAACAGCTTCCTTTAAGTGTGAAATATCATTTCATTGTAAAAAGTAAAAAAAAAAAAAGGAGCGGTAATCCAACTTCCGGATACTGTTCTGAATTATTTCACCAGACCCTTTTAAAAGGGGATTAGCAGGGCTTTGGGAGCAAAATCCTTCTGTTTTATTCAATCTCTGATTTTATGTTATAATTACTGGTTGTAAAGGCTCTGGAATTAGTATTCAGGCACCGTCAGGACACGATGCAGGTGCTATTCTAATGGTTCAGCTTTTCAATTAAGAAAAGAGGTAAGAAAATCGAATCATAGAAACACTTTTGTGAGAGCTGGGAACATTGCAGGGACTGCATGAATAAAGCCTTTCTTTATACCTTACCCTGACAGGTCAGCTACCAAGGAGCTGACTTACGACCTTTTCAGGGCCAGACAATAGTTAACAGCTTTCTCACCTTGTCCCCACTGAATCTTTTCTTCTAAGATAGATCTTATGGAAATTGCCTTAAGTAGCTTGACTTCCACAAAAGATATTGCAGTTGGAATAGATACATATCCATATTGAAATGCTGGTTCTTAAATCTCTTGTTCTCTGAATCTCTTCTCATGGGTTGGGGAAGGGGTTGTCTGGAGGGTACAGACAGTTTATGGGGGAATGAAATCTGCTCTCGAATACCCACACAGAAGGAAGCAGAATCTAGACTGAGTTAGACCTCCCTCCATCCCTGAGAAAGCAAAACAGAGAAACTGCAGAGAAGGTGAGGCAGAGGCTACAAGCAATTCTGGACTTCTCTGAAATGGGCTCTTCTTGAAGGAAGAGATTGGCCTGAACACTATAGCCTTCTTGGAGGCAGCCCAAGTTAGTAGTGGGGTGACTTAGTCCTTTGTAAGTTTCTTCAGCTCTCCAGTCACTCTCAAATAATCATCACCTGAGGATAAAATTGTTCTTGCCCAGGACACTTCAAGACAAGTCCTCCAGCTCTCTCACAAAGTAGCTGTAGCTGCTCTAGCCTTGAGACGCTAGATCATTGGGCCTGTCTCAGGCTCTGGAGACCTCATGATTCTTCTATTCCAAGCTCTGCCAACGCTGGGAGCCCGGATGTGGACTCTCAGGGGAGCCTCCTCTCGGTCTTTCTTAGGCCCCAGTAAAACTTCCCAGAATCCGCCGGGGGTCCGTGATTAGGGACCTGGTCCACTGCCGGCAGGCCAGCAACCCAGGCCTTGCCCTTGCTCAGGCAGCCGGGGCGCCCCTGGGCTCAGCCCAGAACAATGCTAGTATTAGGATATCAGCCGCCCTCGCAATGATCACGCGTTCAACGATTTTGTTTTCACGGCTGAGGGGGCTTTTTTCCAATGTAAATCAAGCGCTTTAGTTATTAAGGCCGAACACTAATCTCCAACAACCTTGACATAATGTGGCCGAGCACGCCGGCCCACTTCGCACCTGCAGTCTGAATAGGGCGCCTTGTCAATGGGGGACACGCTTGTTGCCCCGGCTTGCAAAGGAGGGGAGTGAATAAGTCAAGCTTTGTCAATGCCCATGCGCGCTCTCCCTCCCGCCTTTGATCACGGAAAATGTCTTCTAATTTGTCCCTTTTTCATTGTAACAACATTTTCAAGGCCCTTTCTATTTTTCCAAAGCACATTTTTATAAAGAACATAAATCGCCCCCCGAAAACAAAAGGGGCGCGCCCCGGCCAACTAGCGCCATCACGCTTCAGTGTTTCGTGGCTCTGGAAAGTTTGTTGTTTCTTGAAGCTGCCCTCACAGCAGACACTGGGCTGGAAGGCCCCCAGACTAGAGCTCCAGGTTCGGGCTTCTGTGAGGAGGGTGGTAACAGGCTGTGGGAGGGAACTGTAGAAGGGACTCCCTTTTGGGGGAGGAGGAAAGGACCTGGCATGGGGTAGGCGATCAGAAGGGCCAATGGACTAGACTCATATGGTCAGGACCCAAGGGCACATGTGTCTTTTAGGGATGTTTTGCCACTTCCTGTCCTCTCCAGAACTCAGCAGACAGTTCCAGGACTCCGTGGACGTGGACACGGGTGATCCACCTTTTCTTACACAAGTCAGATGCGGGTGCTCGCTCCACTCTAAACACCGCATTTCAAAACCGCTTTTCTCCCCTCCTCCCTGCACTACCACAAACCGCAGTGGTCCTCCGTCCGCAGAGCCTGGGGAATTGGTATCTGGAGAGGCTTCCTGCACATAAACAGTCGCCCAGATTCTTTGTGGGAAGCCAGAGCATTTTAAAAATTAAAATCCTGCAAGAAAACAGAGAATTATTGCCGTATTATCCGGGGCTATGAAGCAATCTCTTTGCAGAATGTAGCTTTTATTCGGAATTGCAATTCACTCAAATGCTCTCTCGGAGAACACACAGGCATTAATAACTTTGATGTCTCATTTGGTGGAATATTAATTGTCAAGTTGGAAATCAATGAGCACTCTCTGCTCCTCCTCCACCTGCAGTCCCAACATTTATTAAGTGTGGATTTCCAAATGTTCCAGAGGACTTCTTACCAGGAACACTTTTATCCTAGAGTTTTAACTTTCAAATATTTTTTTTTCTAAAATAGAGGCAGACCAAGACTTCTTTCTTTTTTTTGACCCATTAGTTATTACTTTAGCACAGGCTCTGGGTGAGAAAACTAACATAACCCACTAATACAGTTTAAAGCACTTTGATGTCTTGCCAAGAAACACACTTCCTTCAAGAGAGAAGTCAACATTTGTTTTTCACATTAAATGGCATTTAGTTGCCAGTGGAAAAAAAATAATTCTAAGGACCACTTTTTAATTCGATGGATAACAACCGCAGGGGTCTAAAAGAAAATAACCACGATAGCTATAGACACAAATAACTAAATTACCAAAACGTTAGTATATCTTCCGGCTTCATTAATATGTAACAGACTCCCCAGTTAATCTCCAAAAGCTAGTGTTCCCCCTGTAAAATAGCACTCTGGGACGAATTGTACATGAGATCAATCACTGCTAACGCAGGAAGGTTTACTGCAGAAAAGAAAAAAAAAGCTATTTACACCTTCAAATAGAAGCTTTTCAGATTTAAGAGTAAGAGCCATACATCACCAAGAATAAATGATTATGAATTGGTAAACGTGCCCTCCAGCGATTAGCTATGCGCTGCTATTTATCATTTCTTGGGTGGTGATGGTGGTGGAGGTTTTTTTCTTCCTCTCCTTTGCCTTCTCTTTAAAATCATCTGACTGTTAGGAAAGAAAAGCTTGACAAGCAGAGGAGCATAATAATAATAATAATAATAAAAACACCACGGGAAAGTTTGTTTTTGCCTATACAGTAAGTCATCAAAACATGGAGGTGCAGATATAAACGGGGTCATGTATAGAGAGCTTAACAGGAAACAATGCAGCCCTTTCATTGTTTCATTTGTTATTAGAAGATTGTTTGCCCATTAAAGTTGACACATCAGCAGGTATGATTTTTTTAGTCTCCTCCCCTCTCTTTATGGATCCTCTCTCCCTCATTATATCTCCCCTGTTCATCTAGTCCACGTATTCAGGTAGTTCGCCATCAGTGCAACTCTTTCCTTCCTTCCTTTCTCTGCCTCCCTCCCTCCCCTCACTCTCTCCCCCTCTCTCTTTCTTTAGAACTTTTCTTTGTATGTGCGCGAGGCGCTCTGTGTGTGCGCTGCCGCGGGGGTGCGTGGCAGCATGCCTCTGCAAGACCACCGCCTGGAGGCAGGCCCTGCCACAGTTGTCCAGGGAAACCGTGCTCACAGCAAGGCATGGGGTCAGGGACTCCCGGGGACCCCGCTTGCTGTTTGCAACACAAAAGCATATGCAACCCCTAAACATTCCTACAGAGACAAAGCCTGGAGCCGAGGACTGACTTAACCCTGGTTAAAACTAACCCACAGCCCACCTCCTTGGCCCACTCTAGCGCCGGAGGCAAAGTGGGGTGGGTGGGGGGGGGATAGGGAGGCGCTGAGACCCGGTCAGGGCTAGGGTCTGACAGAATTAGGCTCTAGCTTTCGCTGGGTTAGGGGTCGGTAGTGGGGGCGAGTCCTGGCATTAAAGAAGGGTAGAAGGACGACCTACGCCGCTGAATGGGTAGGGTAGGTGTTAGTGATCAGCCCGGAAGCTGAAGTCCACTGAGCTGCGTGTCTGTCTGCCAGCAGTGAGGACGGACCCCAGGGACCTTTGGCGGGAGAAGGCGGTGCTAGCTAGCTTCGCCTGAAGGTGGTAGGATTGTCAGCCGCGTGGTCAGTTCTGACGCCAAATGTCTAGCAGCTGACCGCATAGAGCGGAAGTTCTTGGGCAGGGACTTCGGTAGTCCGCGTCACTGGGTCCGGAACTCACCTGCCCACTGCTCTGAGAAAGTTAGCCACATTTGGCCATGACCTATCTTTGGAAGCCAGCAAGACTATGGGCATGCTTCAAGGGCCCCAGTACCTTTAAATCCACTTGAGGTGTTGGGTGTTCCAACTGGGGAGGAATGGGAAGCTTTGAGGACCAGTTGTTGCCGGCTGCTAGGAGCCCCAACTGAAAGAGAAGATGCGGGTGCAATTATTACATGCTCCCTAGGCCTCCGCAAATTTGGATCTGAGTTGTGTCAAAGGCCGTTTTTTCTTAGGTTGGAGAAATTTAATATGGCTGGGAGGGGAGTTGTGGCCATAAGTCTGTCTTAGCAGGTAACATTACCTAAAAGATCTCTCAGGCAAACAAACACACAGGAGTCCTTGCAGATAGTCCCAGGTTGTAGAGTAAACCCAGGGCATCCTCAACAGGCTGGAAAAGGGCCCATTTCAGAATTGCTTTATGATTGACTTTTAAAGCTAAAGGATTTGCAAAGCATTGTGCCTGTAAATACAGACAGAAGGTTCTCCCCCACCCCCAAAGTTGATAAGAAAAGTTGGAGGCTAAATGTAAAGTATCTAATCATGCACTCCCAGTTTTAAGACATATTGTGGAGTAATTACAAAATAAATGAATGTCTGGGGAACGAAAGGATAAATGAAACGTCTTTCATTTTTATATCATGCTCTATTAAGTAAACTTTCTCCCTTTTTACTCCATGGAATGTTCTCCCATTTTGATAACTCATTACAAGCTGGTGTAGAAAATCTGCTTGAAGAATCCATTCAGACAGTACTGACCTTCAGATAACGGATTTCTCTTTTACTTTGCAAAGCTGGCACAGTCCTGTGTTTTAGAAAAGAGAAATGGAGAAAAGGAATGAGCTCAGAAGTTTGAAAGAGGAAGTATACATTCCTCTTGTATCTCCCTCCCAAGAAGCCTTTTAATACTTTGCACCTAACATTGACTCCAGGAAGGAGAAAAATTGTTGATAATAAAACCTGTGAAATAAGTAAATTGTATCACAAAGAGTTAATTTTGCAACTCCAACAAAGAATATTATTCATGTACTTTCTGTTGTTCTTCAATATTTTATTCTTAATTTTAAATTTTAATACCATTGTTTTCTCCTGTACAAGCCATTTTTGAAATAAAGGATTCCCTTTATGACATGTTTTCAATAGTGACAGTCTCTGAAGATCTATAATATTATTATTTATCTGAATTTTGTAGCTCTGAGGGCTTTATACACGATGTAATTGCTTTAACATGTTTTCATAAATTATATTCAGAAATGTGTCATAGTAAATTACCTTTGTAATAAAATGTAAAAAATGCAAATGGCTGTTGTCTTTATTACGTTTTAAACCATTGGTTTATCTGCACTATTTCACTTGTCACTTGCACAATATGTTGGCTAAAGGGGCGGCACAGTTTGATAACAGAGAGCTGGGTCCTGTGTGTAATCTTGCAGGCACGTACAGTTTGGGTCATTTCCTCATCTCCCGCAGAAAAGACATTATCCTGCTCATATTTACATACTTTTCAATATTTGTCAAACAATCATAAATTATAAATTAATGAAATGTTCAACAGTCTTCAGAGATCAGACTAATGAAGACATTTACCTTTTTGGTGATTTTGAGTCTCATCTTTGTAAGTTTAATGACATTTCGACGCTCATGTTTTATTAGGCTTTATTAGATTTGTCCTTCACTCCCGCTGTCATTCAGATGTCTCTGCAGAAACATCACCTGCTTCAGGTACAAGAACAAATCGACTTAGTCCAGGAAGCCTTCAAAACAGGGACTCTGCAACCTTAGATTGAAGAATTAATCTTGGGTTGGGTTTAAAAGATCACTGGAAATTTTTACCCTTCTTAAAATTTTTAATGAGACTGCTGTTACATTTATTTTACTAGCAGGCAATAACATGGATACTCAGACAGATGTGCAGCTGAGATACACTGTAATTTCAAAGTGATTTACAGCGGCACTGTTGAGAATGAGGGCAAGCTAGCTCTGATTCTGATTTCACCTTTTGGAAATTTATGAAATTTTTTTTGGATTAAGGCTAGTTGCACAGTCTGTAAATCTCTTGAGCCCAAAGGCAGGGGGCTCATTTAGAACTTGGCCTAAATCAGGGGATGGGCACAATCTCACCCAGCCCCAGTCCTAGGCAAACAAAGAGCTCCTTTTCCAAAATTCTCCCACCCATTTACTGGGTGCTGCTTTGACCCTGGATCCTCAGAGGGAACCCCAGATACGTGCCTGCTCAGCCCAGCACAGGAAAAGGATGATGTAAGTGCCTTGTGTTGGTGAGGTTGACATATTTCCCTGAAACATATTGGCTCCCCACGCTCTCATTATGACTGATAGCCATGGGGCTTTTTAATAAAATTATAGGTGATGAATTTAGTTCAATCCAGAGAGGTCAAACGATCAGCCTTGACTTAAGATTCAAATAGTAAACCACATGGAACAAATGCCCATCTTTGCCAGTCCTCTCCAGCCACTGTCAAAGTGAGCTGTGGCTTTGGCACCACGTTACTCTAAACAAAGGGCAAGGAGCCCAAGAAGTTGGAATGTCAATGTCTCTGACATCAGGTTGGGTAATTTTATTAGCCCTCTTGCAAATTTTATCAATCACGATAGTACACATTAACCCAAAAGTCACCAGATGCCTTGCTTTCTTTAGCCTTGCTCACCAGGGACATGCATCCTTTGGGACATAGGGCATTTGTGGAGATGGGGAGGAGCCGCTGGAAGGAAGGGGCACTCACAGCACCCCCTGCTATCATTAAGTAGAAAGAAATGAGTGTGTATAGATGAGAGAGAGAGAGAGAGAGAGAGAGAGAGAGAGAGAGAGAGAGAGAGAGAGAAAGTGGAGCAAGAAAGAGACAATTTTAGAGGTGGTTGCTCCCTGAAAGCCTTTATATGGGTCGCTCACATCCTCTTCAGCCAATTCGGCTGTAGCATAGCACCAGGCGTTCTCTGGGTGGAGAGCAGGAGGGAAACTTCAATTCCCTGTCGGAGCAAGGACTTAGAACTTAGCCTTTGCCCTTGTATAAAATATACATCAGGAATAAAACGGCGGCCCATTAAAGACCACAATCAGAACCAATAAAAATGTTGAGACCGACTTCAAAATATTTCCAAACACTACTTTTTTAATACACCACGGAGAGTTATTAAGTGGCTTCTTGGTGAAGCGAGCATTGCTTCCGCAATCATCAAAAATTGATATGTACTGCTAGTAAAGTAATTATGCGCCATCCGGAGGATGGAGAGCAGGCGATTGTTAATCCGCTTGCACACCCGTTGACTTGCAGCATCAAGCTGCAAATAGCTTAATTAAGTCATACACGTGGACTACAACCATATTGCTCCATTGCATGGTGCACACTATATCTCAATTTGCTGGGACAATTAATGGGTGAGCTCCACCTCGGGTGGGAATGTCATCCACAGGGCTCCCAAGTTCTTTTCTATTGATATTTGCCCAACCCAGAAAGCCAAGAACAAGTGAGAATTAAGAGAGAAAGAGAGAGATGTCATGTTGGGAGTGGGGATGGGTTTTGTTGGGAGCAAACTTTGGCACAACTGGAGTTGTCAGAACGGCGTGCCACAAAAGCTGAGGCGAAAGGAGTGCTTTGGACAGACCACAATTCATGTCCTAGCTGGTCACGTATTTAAGTGGACAGAGTCCCCAAAAGATTAATTATAATTGTAAAACGCAAAGCAAAGCCCATTCATTAATCATAAGAAATCTTCAGCCTAGAAGGCCTGGAGTCTGTTAGGACAGTTATTTAAATTAGCTTCCACCCCTCCCCCCCCCACACACACATTTATTGGCCACAGGCAGTTTGCTTTTTGACCTAAAACTACAGAAATCAGGTTAAAACCAATCGATTTCCCCCACTTACAAACTACTTAAGACACAAACTTGTGTCAGGGAATTCCTCTCTCCCATCTCCATTCTTGAGGGTTTAAAATATTCCAGGTAACACGCTGCTAGAAACGCTGTCACAATCACGGGCAGGAGCTTGGCAGCAGGGGTAGTTGGGGTGAGGAGGGCTGACTGCGCCCTTAGCCAGCAGCCCTTAACTCCAGTTTCCTTGGCAGGTGCGAGATGACTTTGGCACGCCCCTTCTCTTGAGGACACGGAGGACCTGTTCTATTTATAACTTGGGTGCCAGGCAATGTTCTAATTTGGATCTGCGGCGCAAGATGCCCAAGGTAGGTAAAACATTGACGCGAAGTCTAGTCCTCAGAGTGGGTGGAGACCAGGAATCAACCTTTCCTCATTTCAAACATCGCAAATAGGTGGTAACTCCAAGTGGCAGTCAAAGGACTTCTCACACATATTTGCCTCTAAACGCTGGTTGATTTGGGCAAGCCCCAATCTTGTGGATTTTTGTTCGGTTGTCCCACAGATGGGGACATTAATTTTGACTGCGTATTCCAGAGGTGTGTCTTGGATTTTGAGTTATTGCCCTGTCTCCTTCCTCCAGGGTCCTGGAGTAGTTAGGGGTATGCGACTGTGTCTTGCGGGCCAACCCCGCCCCCCCGCAGGTCAGATGGGGGTGAGGGAGGGGAGGAAGGAAGATGTTTACTCCCGGCATCCTTTGCGAAAAAATCTTGGGCGGGAAGATCCAAGGCGTGAACTAGGTAGCTGGCCTGACCATCTCAGCCACCCTGGCATCTCTCTCCAGTTCTTCTCTGATTATTTTTTTCCTTTGATTCCAAAAGGTATAAAACCAAATGAGTACCTATTCTTAAAAGTCTTCTCCAACCCAGCTTTGGAGGTGTTTTTCAGGGTTCAGGCACCTTTGAAGAACCAGGGTTGGGGATACTCCAGGCCTTCCTAGAGACACCTGGGGTTCTGCAGCCCCGTGCAAGAAAAGGAGGGGGCGGCCAGGCACCCACTGGGGCCGGGTTGAAGCGGGCGGAACGAGCTGCTCCTATCCGGGGACCGTCGAGGTCTCAGTGGAGTTCCAGGGGCCTGAGTCTGGACACTTAGGGAGTGAGGGCATGGATCCGGAGAACCGCTTGTTGGGATCCTATGTTTCGGGGTACCGTACTGGCAGAGCCTACGTCAGCACTTACAGTAAAAATAACAGCAGCAGCAACACCGACAACGCATCAGTAATATTTACCTTACACTTTCTATAGGCGCTTTGCATTCACAGTCTTATTTAAAACGAACAAACAAACAAACCCCACAAGAAATGCATTCAATTTTTGCACCCATTATAGAGATGAGAAAACAGAGGGTTCGGGCGGTTTAAAGGACTTTGTTCAGGGTCCTTCAGCCAGGAAGTGGCAAAGCAGGTACTTGGAACAGCGCGCTGCCGAAGGGCTCACAGTTCTTCCTTGAGCTGCCTCTACCTTTCGGAAAGGTTGGGGCAGTTCAGATATTTCCATTCCTTTCTCCACCCGCTGCAGGTTGGCCGAAGTCGATACATTGTCAGTGCTAATCCTTGCTTTGGGGATCTCTGTCCTCTTTCCCACCCATGCCCCAACCCCCCTGCAATTCGGTGGGTGTCTTCTGGGCTTAGACCTGGGCCGGCGGGGCCCAAATCTCCAAATGCTTCTGAAAACCCACCACTTCACCTCATCCAGTTCCCCAGCCTGGAGAGCTGCAGTCAGGGCTAGGGCGGGGGCCATCCAGAGGCCTTCCTGGTGGTGGTGGTGGCCAAACTCACAGACCGACTAAGTCCTGTCAAGACAAACGCTGAGGGATGGAGTCCTGGGTGGTTTCTGAGCGCCCCCCCCTCCCGCCCATTTCTCTGTTTAGCTAACATCTGACTTCAAGAATATGGCTCAAATAGGATGCATATTAATTTCACAACTTCCATTCCAAAGTCGGGATAGAACCGCTGTGGCCACCCTAGTCTGTAACTTCCTGATCCTTAAAAATGTTAGAGGAGACCCCGAAGAAATTTACCAGGGACAGTCCGCTCTGCGGGTTGAGATAGCAAGGGAAGGATTCATAGGGGTACAAAATTGAGGGGTGAGCTGCGCTGCTCTGATTTTCCGCGGTTGCGTGAGGGAGTGGGGTGTGGCGTGCGGAATGGTTAAAGCATATTTGTCTTTCTATGCCAAAGCCTTAGCTGTCCCCGAGATGTCAAAGGCCCAGGCATTTCAACCAAGGACCGGACTCTGGCCCACAAGGAGCGGGCCTGCGGCCTTCAGAGTTAGCGGCGTACCCGGCAGCGCTCGCTCTAAAGTTTAACTCTATTATCAAAGGGGAAATAGAAAAGTGACTTCTGCAAATCCCAAGAAGGGGTCCCACCGGCAACTTCTGGGGTGGGGATCGGGGTGGGGGACCAAAAGAGAGGTGGAAAAAAGAGCGGGAAAATCAATTGAAAAAAAAAAAAAGATACACGCGGGATTAAATAAGCTAAGAAGCTCAGCCGGCGGAATTCTAGATCTGGGTTTTGAAACCAAGAGGGTCCCTCTACCTTTGGCCATCTGGCTGTTTTCAGCTCTGCCCCATGCTGTATGATTTTAGCTGAAAATCTCTTCCGCTGCAGCTTTGCTTTTATTGAATTCATCAAAAGCAAAGTTTCCCTGAGTTTTTTTTTTTTTAAGAAGGCTAAAATAATACGCCGACCACTGTGACATTCTCCGCGCCCAGGCCATTTTTCATAACGCCGCGGATCCGCTTTTGTGCCTCGGAGGCGACTAAACAGATGAATAACGAGCAAAGCCTCCCGAAAGTAAGTTAGCAGCTTTCTAGCTC